GGCGGGTCTGGGCCACGCCACCCCCCACGAGGGATCTCACATCAATGTTTCTCTCTGTCTCTCTTTATCCCTCCCTCTCCTCCTCCTCCTCTTCTCTCCTTTCCACTCTCTCTGAAAATCAATGGAGAAAATATTCTCAGGTGAGGGTTTAAAAAAAAAGTAAAGTGACCTTAACCAGTTAACTGCCACGATATTTTGAATTTAACTTAAAAAGTTCCCCCACTTGCATCTATAGACACTTACGGCGTACAAATGGCTAACTAGGGGCCCTCCTGTCTTAAGGCTGTAGTTCTAGTTATTACTGAATAGAGACACGATTGAAGCAGATTCGAGGAAAGTAAAGGTGATGAAGTTTAACTGTAACAAACTGGGAGGCAAGTACTGACCATGCGAAGGGTGACCAGGCTGTTTTAAAATCCTTCTTGCCGTCCAGGAACCGTAAGAAAGATGCAGGCGCTGAGCCTCGTGACACTGAGGTTAAACGCTGTTCCCTCCCCACCTCGCACAGCAGTGTTTGCTTCTCACTTCCTGTGAGTGGCTTTGGTCCGTCTCGGCCGCACGGTCCCCATCCGAAGACAGAGGCTGGGACCGGAGTCTTGTGCCACCCGGAGTCAGAGCACAGCCACGCCACCCCCCACGAGGGCAGGTCTGGGCCACGGCCCCTCAGGCGGCTTCATGTTTCTCTGGGCCCAGCGGGATCACTACTTCAGGGCCCGCACGGAGACCTGGGAGGAGGGGTGTGGGGTGCAGGGGGCTGATGTCAGACCACTGGTTCCCTCAGAGACAGGGGAGGCGTGTGACACGGGGGGTGAGGCCTGCAGGTGCTGGTCCCTGCCGGGTTTTGTAAGAGCTGGTGGGGCAGCAGCTGCCGTCTCCTAAGGCCTGGGAGTGGGGGTGGCCGGGCTCTGGTGCCGACGTGTCCAAGGGCAAAGGGCCTCCCTGTGCTGCTCCGAACAAGGGCCGGCTGCTTCGAAGAAAACTAACAGCTAAAGGTCGTCATTGTCGTCAGCAAGGCACGAGTTTGCTGACAAAACTGGCCCGTCTGGGCCCTAGTTGCGCCCCACAGGCCTCCCTCTGGCCTCGGCCTGGACGGGCCTGCAGGTGGGCAGTAGAAGCGGGCGGCCTGGCGGGCAGGGCTGAGCACAGGTCAGGTGTGAGGAGACTCCAGGGTCTTACCTCTCAGAGTTCTTGCAGGTGATGGGGCTGGACAGCCGGCCCGGCCAGGGCAGAGCACCGGTGCCCGCCTGGGTCCCAGTGTGACCCTGCCTGTGTCCCCCCAGATCACCACCGTCTGGCACGGGACCCTCGTGAAGCTGCTCCGGAGCCTCTACACGCTGGCGCTCCCCGCCACCTCCAAGGAGCTGCTGTCGGTGGAGCAGGAGGTGCGCTGGCGCATGCGCAGGCTCAAGTTCAAGCACCTGGCCTTCCTGGCCGAGTCCAGCAGGATGTATGTGTGTGAGAGAAAGGGATGAGAAGAAAGAGAAATGGAGAAAGAAATACAAAAAAATAAATAGGAAAAGAGAGAAAAAACAGAGTTCACAGACAAATACTTAGGTTCCTACTAAATACAATTTAACCAAAGGAAACGCAACAGATATTTGATTGACATGAATTAAATTGAAGTGTGTGTATGTGTTTTTGTAGGGGTCATTTCTTGGTAATCTACTGTGGCCTATATAAAAGTTGTGTCAGGCATCTGTAATCTTTGATAAATACTCCTCTATACAAATAAAGTAAATACTAAAGCAATTTGTTGACAAAAGTTTGGTCACACATTGCAGAAAGAGCAAGGGGCCCAGGCCAGCCCCAAGGCTCAGCTCCCAGCCGGCACTTAGAGCGGTGGTGCTGCAGCCCACAGCCAAGTCAGCTCGGCCAGTCCCCCAGAGCTGGGCTGGCCGCATGGCTGCCACACAAGGGCCACCATTCAGTGGCCCTGGGTCCCTGCCCTGGGCCCCGCAGGGGCTGTGGGTAGTAAGCTCAGGCCCAGTTGCTGTCTCGCAGGGGCTGCGCTGCATGGGACCCCGGCCGTGGGCGCTGAGCTGACCCTGGGCTGTGGTTGACAGTGCCTGGACCTGGTGGAGCAGTTCGGCCCGGAAGAGCTGCAGAGGGTGCTGGTGGCGCTGGCGGCTCAGAACCGGCGGTCTCTGCCCTTGCTGCGGGCCATCTCCTACCACCTGGTCCAGAAGCCCTTCCCCCTGAACAAAGGCGTCCTCCTGGACCTGGCCTATGCCTACGGTGAGCCCGCGCGCAGAGCTGGGGGCGCCCTGGCTGCAGCCGTGTCAAATTCGGTGCCTGTGCCCCCGTGGCCGGCACCGGCCCGGAAGGCTGCCACAGAAACAATGTGGTCCATGGGCCCTGGTCCCCTCTGCTGGGCCTCAGGGATACATTTGGCTACAGACACCAAGCTCCAAGACCTGAGGACCGGCTGGGGTGCTGGGCGGGCCTCCAGGTGAACCCCAGGGTCTTCTCTGTCCCGTAGGCAAACTCGGCTTCCACCAGACCCAGGTGTTCCAGCGCCTGGCCGCCGACCTGCTGCCCCACGTGCCCAGCCTCACGCCTGGCGAGGTGGCCCGCTGCGCCAAGTCCTTCGCCTTCCTCAAGTGGCTCAGCCTGCCCCTGTTCGAGGCCTTTGCCCAGGTGAGCAGGGTGCACACCCGAGTCCTGGGGTTAGTCAGGAGGTCCGGGGGCTAGAAACCCCCAGTGCAGACCTGGGGTTCCTGCTCTGCATTGGGGGGACGCCGTAGCCGGGAGAGAACGATTTCTCCCCGTGCTGCAGTCATGGCGGCTGCAGTGGGCACCGAACTGGCAATCTGTGCAGGTGGCGAAGCTGAGACGCCCTCAGCTGCCACGAGGGAGCTTGTGTGAGGAAGGCAGTGCCTGTGCTGAGGTGCATGGGCACCTGGTCGCACAGCACCCACTGCTTCGGAGCATTTCCACAGCCGCGCTGGGCGGGTTCCGGGGCTGCTGCCGGGCGGAGAGGGCGTGGGCACTTCATCCTGCCCCTGCCTCCCTGTGCCCAGCACGTCCTCAGCCGGGCCCAGAGCGTCGCCGTGTCCGACCTCTGCAACGTGCTGCTGGCCTTCGCCCGCCTGAACTTCCGTCCGGAGCAAGAGGAAGCGTTCTTCAGCCTGGTACGGTCTCCCGGCCTCTCCCGGCCCCCTCCCTGTAGGAGGGAAGGAGGGAGGCCTTGCAGGGGCAGGGGGCAGAGCGAGCCAGTGGAGCCAGACCTCCCAGTTGTCTGGGGGCAACACTCGAAACCCCAGCACTAGACCGTGGGCCAGAGCGGCTGCAGGCCCAGGAGGCATTCTTGGGCGGGCTCACTTCCTGTCTCCGCCTTAACGCCCCCGAGACTCCGACCCCCTGGCAGGGTGCCTGTAGGGGCACCACCCCAGCTGCGTCCACTCGTGCCCTCAGTCCCTCTCAGGGCCGGAAATGCCTCCCATTCTGGGGCCCCTCGGATGTTCCTGGAGAGGTGGTTAGTCCCTCACCTGGAGGGGCCAGTGGGAACGCCCAGTTGAATGTCCTTCTGTCCCGATGGGCCCAGGGGGTTTGGATGGTTCCTGGTACCTTCCCCAGTGGCGGCCTCGCACCCAGAACATCTGCGCACACTGAGCAGAGCCTCCCCTGCACCCCTCCCTGTCCCCCAGGTACATGAGAAGCTGGGGAGTCAGCTGGCCGACCTGGACCCAGCCCTGCAGGTGGACGTGCTGTGGGCCCTGTGCGTGCTGCAGCAGGCCCGGGCATCGGAGCTGCAGGCCGTGCTGCGCCCTGAGCTGCACACCCAGTTCCTAGGTGAGGGCGGGGGTCTGTGCGCTGCTCTGGGCCTGCGCTGCCCAGCCTGTGTGCCCTCGGCCAGGTGCGGGTGGGAGCCTCTAGGCCCAGTGCCAGGAAGGAGCAGGGGAGACGCTGGGCCAGGCTCCCCAGCATTCGCTGCTTTGCCGTCTGCCTGCAGGTGACCCATCAGGTCCTCCTTCCCCACTCACTGCACCTCTTCCCGTAGGTGACCGGTCCCCCAGGGGTCAGAGCACCTTTCAGAAGCTGCTGCACATCAACGCCACAGCCCGGCTGGAGCACCCCGAGTACGCAGGCCCCCTGCTGCCAGCCTCGGCCTTGGACCCCGGGCCCCCGGGCCCTGAAAGGAAGGTGACGCCCCTGCAGAAGGAGCTGCAGGAGACCCTGAAGGGGCTGCTGGGGGGAGCTGACCGGGGCCGCTTCTCCGTGGCCACGCAGTACGGCTGGGTTCTTGGTGAGCCTCCCGCCCGTCCCCCAGCTAGGGCCTGCCCGCCCCGCCCCGCCCTCCACGTGGGGACAGCCGACCATTCCGCCTGCCGCCCTCCCCAGACGCAGAGGTGCTGCTGGATGCCGAAGGCCAGTTCTTGCCCCTGAGGGACTTCGTGGCCCCTCATCTGTCCCCGCCCTCGGATGGCCAGCTGCCCCCGCCTACGGCCAAGAGGTAGGCCATGCGCCTAGGTCCTCCCCGGTTCTCCTTGGTGTTGCCCTGGCCTGCTCTGCGTGGCGCTGCCCAGCCTCGGCGGACAGACACGGTCGGCCCAGTGGCTCCTCTCCCTTCCCCAGGCTGGCCTTCCTGCGCTGGGAGTTCTCCAGCTTCGCCAGCCGCAGCAAAGACCTGCTGGGCCGCTTTGTGCTCGCCCGACGCCACGTGTTGGCTGCTGGCTTCCTGGTGGTGGACGTGAGTACCTGTCGGGCAGGTGGTGACCGAAGGGGGCATGTCAGCGGGGCTTCAGGTCCTGCTCCCACCTGCACAGCCAGGGCCTCTTGGGGGGGTCGAGGGGGGGGGCAGGATGCCCAGGTTCAAACCAGGTGAGCAGCACCGAGCCCGCTCTCGCCTGGGAGACTTCCGTCCCTCCTGCTCCTTCCAGGAGGTAGCCTGTGAGCGGCCACAGGAGATACTGTCAGTTTCTTGGTTAAAACAACTGAAACATTTGGGAGCCGCCTTTAGCCCGAGTGGTTGAGCCCGGCACTGGTCCCACGGCCCCGGCCCCTGCAGGGTGGAGGCTGGAGCTGTGCTGCTCACTGGGTGCCGCCCCCAGGTCCCCTACTATGAGTGGCTGGAGCTCCGGTCCGAGTGGCAGAAGGCCGCCTACCTCAAGGACAAGATGCGCAAGTCGGTGGCAGAGGAGTTGGCCAAGTGACCTGCCCGCACGGACTTCCCGGGGCCGGGTTCCCGGGGGCCCAGCCGTGGGCCCTGGGCTGCAGGTGGCAATGAGGACAGACGTGCAGGGCCTGGCCCAGCAGCGCTGCCTGCCCCTGCCCTTTTGCGGGAACTAAATTTTTCTTTTTTTTTCAACCA